ATCTATCTATCTGTCTTGTTTCATTTCTTTGGATTTTTGGCTGCTCAAATGGCATAGTTTGTAGTGTACTGTGTGTACTCCTGTTCTCAGTAACAAAACGTAATTTGATTTATATGATGCGTGGAACATTTTAACCTTGGGTTGAGGAGTTAGATGTAATTGCCTGCATGTGGCTCTATTACCTTGTAACTGGACCTAGCTTTAAGCAGTCTGTCCTTGCACGCATTCCTATGAAAGCCAGCATGTTACAAGTGCTGAAAGTTAGAATTTAAGGACAACAGGTCAGCATCTAAGTTATACGTCACCTTCAGAGATGCACATGCATTGCAAGGATTGCACATGTCCAGTGCAAAGAATCTTGTTCGCTTTACCTTGAAATATTTCATAAGTTTGGTATGAGTATTAATCAGTGAAAATCTGTGTGCCCTTGCACGTCTCTCCACTTCCCTTGGTGGTCTGTGACAAGGAAGCAGGAAACAGAAATAGCCAAGTATGGCAGCCTCAGCATTAGCAAGTATCAGCTTGACAAACCTGCTGGGTAGTGTCACACAAACCATTGATTAAAAGGGAAGATGTTGACTTCTGCTTTTTGCACAGCAGGAAGAAAGCATTAGAAATTAAGGAATTGAGACTATAGCATTAATCCTTTCTTATTTCTAAAGCTGTTTGCCACACAAAGGGTTTGTGTGGGTCCCAAAAATATGTAAAGCAAGCAAGATGTTATGAAACTATGTCGCATTCTCACCCAAAATCCAACTGTCTTTTGATAGAGAAGCTGTTGTTAAGAATTTTAATAGACCACAGTGCCTTATAGTGGATAACTTGCAGCCTTTCACAGCATTGTACTTTCCATATTTTTCCCTCAACCCAAACAGAGGGATAATTGCTGATGGGATCTGTAGTCTACAGTTTCTGGTGGACATCACATTAGAGAAGGTTGTTGTGTTGGGTACATTAGCATGTGGATAAATAGTATTTGTGGATTCAGTAGCACACTTACTGTCCCTTCAGATTATGTTCACATCATTTCAGACATCATAAAAAGGTAAACCCTCTTTAAGATTATATTGGCCTGCAACATTTTTTAAAATATATTGTATGCTCTTATCTAGTTAATAGTGGTGGGAACACCATTGCATATAATGGGATTTGAACATTCATGGAATTTTATATCCATGGTGGGGTGGGGGGGTGTCTTGGAACTAAACCTTAGAAGTTACCAGGAGCCCATCATATTCTAGTGTCATCTCCTAGTATCAATAATTTTATCATTAACTTTTATCTCCTTGTCACGTCCCCCAAAAGTATGTCATTGAATTTTTAAAAAGCCACCAAAAAGCCATTAGTAGCATTTAAATGCTGATTCACCCATGCTGGCTCTTAAGGAAATGCTTTTAATGTCAACAACATAGGACATAGGGCATGGTGGCTACCAAAGAAGTGTTTTGTGTGACTTGGCACCAGAAGAATACTGATTCACTTACCATAAAACACGCTTGCCATGAGATTGGTAAACTGTTACTACTGCTGTTGATGTGTAGACAAGTTCTCCGAAGTAAGCTGTGAGCTATTGCTTTGTATGAAGCTGCTGTTTGGTCCTTTTTGTTACCCAACAGTATTTCATAAATGAAAGTAGAGGTTGTCCTGTGTATTTGTTTTTACACGAACCTTCACTTTGCTCTTTTTTCCGTTCTGTTTGCTGTATTTACTAGCTTGATACTAGGTTAGGTTTCATCTCACACTATAACAGCTATTCAGAAAGTTCTGAATACAATTACAAATCGAATAATATTTTGCAAATACTTTACACAGCATATGTAGGATCTGTGTCCTTTTGAGTGCCATGCATGGTGAAATTGTTACGTTTGTAAATTTCGTACATGCAGGGAATGGATTAGATAATATTCAAGTCATAACCATATAATTTTGTGACCAAGAGGCAAACAGGAGAGCGTTCTTCTGAATCTGCAAGTGGGCTTTTGTTTGAACACAGTACTTTGTGAGGAAAGTAGTCTAAAACTACAGATGGCTCTGTTGTCCTTGGGGAGGAGGTTGTGGCAACAGAAGCTTCCACCTGTCTGAATTGATTGTTCCTCTTGGGGCAAGAAAAAGTAGGCCACAGCTGTGGGCGTAAGCAAGACCATTCCTCAAGAGAAGCATGTAGCTTTGAGTAATAACAAGCTGTTAGACAGATGGCAAAGTTACTTTCATCAGAGTTAGAGTGGAGAATGATTTGGATCTCACAGAATTATAGGATTTTGAGGTTGTTTTCTACATGTCAGTTCACACATTGTAAAGCACTAAGAGAAGATAAAAGCAAAGCAAACTATCTGAGCACATGAATTGAACATCGCCTTATTAGAGATGTCCATGTGCATCCAAATGAGCATATTATTCCCTGTTTAATTCTTTTCAGCCTTAGTATTGAATTTGATTTGGGTCAGTTTTTGCATTTCACACACTATACAGAATTTGCCACAATGTACTCTAAGCAAGCATACTTGAGCTCTTTTGATATAGGATGGAGTGTCTAATATTTTAACAAATAAAACAAATATCTGCATGGGGGAGGCATGTAGCTCACTGGCAGAGGAAATGCTTTACATAATAATAAATTATATATATATATATATATTGTATTCTGCCCTATCTCCCCGAAGGCACCCAGGGAGATAAATGGTCATGGTCTACCAGTGATTCTTTTGATGTTTTGGCCTTCAACTCCGAGAAGTGTGGCTAGCATAGTCGTTTCCTACAGCCTTTTTGCATGCGACCTTTCTTCTACTGATTCTCATGCTCAGAATTTTCCCTTGAATTTCTTTTGTGCTTTCTTCTCCAATGCTGTGGGCAATCTGTTCCTGGTTGAGCTTGTGTGGCCTCCCCACCCCCTTTGCCTCTGTTCTCTGTGGGAGTGGCAGCAGGTTAGAGGCAATGCCTGGACCTGTTAGAGAGGTCTGAAATGTTGCCCTGCTGGCTTGGTTGCTTTGGCAGCTGCATCAGCTCCTTGGCAGCAGGAGCTTGTTTCAGATCCCACAGGGCAAGAGAGTATAAATCCCTTCTGAAGCAGCCTCAAGAGGATATCTGTGCATACAAGTGTGCATAAGCAACCAAGTAACCCTCAAGGGTTTAATAAACAAGCCTGTACCTAGGAAACCTGAACTGAGGACTGCTGCGGAAGAAATCACGTCCCAGCCTGCACCCCTTCAGTCAAACAGGCAGATACCAAGAGATTTGGGTTGCCTTACCGAGACATGGACATTTTTTTAATAAAGATATGGACTGGGCAGATGTTGGCAATGCAATTTTTTGCATAACAGGTTTGAGGAGGAGGAGGAATTTCTCCCTTCTGTTCAGTTCCTCATAGGGGCTCTTCACAGGCTCACAAGGCTTCTCACTGTTCATAATTCTGTGAATAGCAAAGGGCCTTGTTTTGCAATCTCTTTTTATAATCTGAGTTCTGTTTTTTTACAAAATGCCTTCCTGCAAAAATTGAGGAAAAAGTATGTGTATGTGTGTGTGTGTGTGGGGGGGTGTACTGTAGGGTTTTTTTTTTTTACATCACTGGAACTGTGGATGAAAAGAGTAGGCTATTATGTCAAATGGAATTCTAAGGACTTCAGTCTTAACTAGAAGAAAGCTGCTCTTTAACCCCTGAATATTTAGTTTATTTATTTATTTGCTTTCTTACTTCATTTATACCCCACCCTTCTCACACTGAAGGGGACTCAGAGTGGCTTACAAGTAGTTGTGCAGTATATGCACATAAAGAAAAAAAGGGGGATTTTCTCTTGCCTTTCTTTTTTGTTGGAAAGATCAACATCCATTAAAAGAAGAAAGGGGATAAACAAGTAATCTAGAGGTGTCATTGTGAAATGTACTCTGTCCGGACCTATTGAAAGAGTTTGTATTTCAGCAAAGTGGCTGACTGCTGTAACTGTAAAAGTGACATTCTTGAGGGTATACCAGTTACGGTGGTTTGACACATAGGCAGAAGAGGATTGAAGCCAAAAACATTCTGGGCCACAGATTTTCCATGCTTCTGTAGAAGGTCATTGGGCCACTTAAAGTAGCCCTGTAACTGTGTCATGGAGAAACTCCACTCGTTTCTATAGTGATGTAACTGATAGTAAAGATATAGGTGAGCATATCTTACTTAACCTAAGATGGTCTCTTGTGCCTCAGTTGCACAGAAGAACAAATTCTTATAACTTAAGCTGGTGTAAAGGAGGTGAGGAAAGAAAACATTTATCCAGAACATGGAAATGTTACTTTTTTAGACTGCAGGGTGCTTAAGGGATTGGTGCAATGCTTTATTTGTGTATGGGGTTATTATGTTTTAATATGTTTTATGGTTTTAAATTGTATTTATATGTCTATTGTTTCTAGTGATTTATGTTTTATATGGTTTGTATAATGAGGCATTGAATTTTTGCCTAGATGAATGTTTCATGCTGCTCTAAGTCCCCCTGAGGGGTGAGAAGAGCGGGATAGAAATAAATAAATAAATACAGCTGTGTTGATGACTAGTCGATTCTAGTTGAGGTGACTCTGGGAGTTTTATTTGAAGAGAAAATACATTATTTCCAAGCCTTGCATTTGTAGATCTCAAAATGGTTGCTAAATACACAACCTGAGTTAAGCATGATAAAGTTGAGTGTGGCTTTTGAAGAAACTAAAAGTATGGCAAAGGATCTGTAGCAGTGGATCATCCTGGCACTTGGTTCTTATTTCTAAGTGTATCTAGATGACTACTGTGAGAATTGTAGTTCTGTACGAATGCTGCAGATTCTCTTAGAAGGATTCAGGGTCCTGAGATTGTGATCTAGTTTGCCCAAATTTTATTTGGAAGAACATTAGATAAACAAGACTGTTTAGTGTGGATTTGCTTGATGCACTTTGCCCTACTTGGAAGCACCGTGGGTTCAGCCAGTCCAGTGCCACTGAACCTCTGGTGGGTACACGGCCTGTTTTCTAGAATGCCTTTTGTTCTTTATTTCCAGAGGCAGGCACTGCTGCCTGGTGGCAGGATGCCCATGGCAGCATTACAAGTGGGAGCCCCCTCAGGGCCTCCATATGGAACAGTTTCTCCACTGAGACCTGGAATGCCACCGTCCATGATGGATCCATTCCGAAAGCGGCTCCTTGTTCCACAGACCCAACCACCTTCATCACTAACCCAAAGGCGAGGGTAAGAACCCTAGGGAATATGGATTTTTTAGCTGAAACATGTATCTTGGGAACAGGGAGTAGAATATGATAAGTTGTTTCTATAGTCAACTTCTACAACCTAATTCCATGAGGGTAGGAAGACAGAGGGAATAATCTTCTTACCATAGCTTTCCATTCCATTCTGTTTTTAGGAAAAATTGATAATGCATCCACCCCATCACATGCAATGTACTTTTGTCTGTTTTTACTGTAATTGTTGTGGCATTGAATTAATTGTTGTGGCATTGAATTGTTGCCAATTGTGAACCGCCCTGAGTCGTCCTCGGGCTGAGAAAGGTGGTATATTAAATGTCGTAAATAAATAAATAAACAAACACATGTTCTGAGCTATCACAAGGGCAAGTGTAGTCCCCACTCATTCCACATTATTTTTTAAAAAAGGGAAACTTTGCAACTCCAAAATCAAGATCTAAAAAAGGAGGAAATATTGCCACAGCAAAGTGGTAATATATCAAAATTGCGCAATTCCTGAAGAATAAATAATTTTTAAAATTACTGTAAAAGTTTTGTGTAACAGGATAACTGGCAAGAAAAAGAGCATCAAGATTCATTTCGAGACCGCCCACTCTTTAATGTCACTAAAATGATCTAACACGGAGGAATCTGATAGTTCCCATCACACGTGTAAATCAGAACCTTTACCCACTTCTGCATAAATAGGGAACTCTGAAGACGGTTGCTACCTGACTCCTAAAACCTCAGTTTCTAGATACTTTAAGTATATTTTAAGTCTGAGTCTCACAGGGAACAGCCAGAAGTAGTTTTACATCATATGATGGACTCAGTTGTACTCTGTCTTTAAACTGTTTTTAAAGTGTGCAGAAATGTCTGACAAGATCCCTAGTGTTTGGTATGTGCAATTAAACTTTTCATTAGTGATACAGTATTTGTAAATGAATGCAACATTTTAATCACTGCTATCTCTTACTGTACATATCCCATCCTTGTTTTTAGGTATCACCCATCCATACATACACTCTAGTAAACAGTTGGCTCTCATTTTACTGGATCCTTTCCAGCGTCTCTGGTGAAAATATTGAGAATATCTCATTTTAGTCCCTTCTGGTCCACATTTTATTATTTGAGCTTCCTCTCTAGGAAGAGATGTTTTTAAATGTTGACCATTTTAATAGCTGTGGGTAATCCCCTCTCCTTTCTTTCTGAATCGTGGCATTAATCATGGCCATTGCTATGTCCTGTGGAAGTGAAGTTCCCAAAAATTGTAAGAGCCATGCAAATATATTTTCATTTTTTTCAGTTTGTTCCTTTCTGTGCTCTTTATTCACTTGTTAACTTCGAAATTGATTGATTGAAATTCAAAAGCCCTGGGTAAATCAATTGGTTTAATATTTAGCAATTCTAAGCATCTTCTTAGGAATGAAGTGACCCACTCATGACAGAAAGGATAGTTCTGGTATGTGAACACAAAGCTATCCACCAAAATTCCAAGAGAGAATCTAGGTTTGAGAGTAGCCCCAATCTGTGGCTCTGCTTCTTTAAGTGAAGTGGATTTACATTCCACCTTAAAATATTAAATTCACTCTCAGTCCAGGCTCCCTCCTATTGCATTTCTCTCTGCAATATCTCCATGAAATTTCAGCTTATTGGGGTCATTGTTGATTCAAAAAGAGTAGTTCAAGGAATCAGTTCCCCTGTTCAGGTTGGACTGGAAGTACAATTGTCACTATTTTTATCAACATAGTGATGAACTATTCTCTGACATTCCCCAACAATTTCATGTAGGTTTTGAAAGCATAAGTATAGAATAAAACTATAACATATTCCATGGGACAGAGCAACCATGTTTTTCTCCCGCTTCTGAAATTTGACAAATGAGTTGGAATGGAAATACTGTAAGGGCCATGTGCTCCCAGTAGTTCAGAGCACCATAACTGAAAGTATAACAGTTGCCAAGGGATCCAGAAGAATCAGTTAGTGGACGTTCACGGATTTATTGCTATCTGAATTCATCTACCAGTATTGTCAAGACAATTTTGATCCCAAACACTGACCTGTAATCAAATTGAAGTAAATTTAATAGAAACTGGAACTGACCTACCAACATTCACTCTATTGCTCCAAAGAATTTTTTTTCCACAAAGGACTACTTCAATAATGGGTGTAATGTGGCATTTCCAGGAGAACTATGTGTTGCTGCCTCTTTCAAAGATGTATAAACAGCCTAAGAATTGTTGCCGCCAACACCCTGGGATCAGAGAAGGTGGGGAGGATCCAAAGGACTGATGATTGGTTGGACTATGAGAACTTTGTATTCTTGGATAAAAACCTCCTAAATTCATCTTAGCAAAAATAATACAACTGACAGATTTTGCATTGAGGTGTTAAAATAATCCAACCTAGATTGAGTATGAGGAATTTTAACTGTAAAATGTTAATCAAACATGTCACAGCAACTTACAGAGGATTTGGAATTGTATCCCTAGGACTAATTAGATCAAATGCTTCTACGAATAATTTCCTGAGCAATGCTAAGTGAATGAAATGATAATAGAGATGCTTTGCTATCATTTCTGTCTCATAAGGCTCTAATATACCCTTAAGAGCTTTTGTATTATTCAGTCCAAATATGTCTTTTCTTTCTTTGTGCTTCTCCTGTTTCAGCTGTTCTACTACCAATACTACCTTGGTATATCAAATCCATTCACTTTAGCCCATAGGAAAGGGTACATAGGAATAACTGTGTTTGAGAGCTTACTAGGGACAGAGTGACCAAAATCACTAATCAAAGAGTCTCCAATGATTATCTGGTAATCTGTGGAACTAGTTGGCTCCTGAGATCAACTATATATCCCACCTTCTGTGATCAGGGACCAATTAAATAATAAACTTTTAAACTCTTCCACTCCAAAAGATCCAATATATTATGATATTCAAGTACATGTGGTTTTCTCCATAACTGTCTTCACCTAAGTAGTAAACTTTTGTGCTGTTCCAGTTTGAAATATGGGCAGAAGCTTCCCCTTTCTCCCTGGCTCACATAGACAGCATAGCCAATGAAAAGGAATATATAAATTGCTCCACTTGAAATATTTCAGTTCTCCTTAAAAACAAACCCTGTAAAGGAGAAAAATATTCCCTCCCTATTCCAGAAGGGAGGCTCGGTAACATGTCATAGCTATGGTGACCCAGGTCTCATTGAAGAATGATTATATAGCTCTTAAAGATGTTTTATTAATATCTAATCCGGCAGTGGAGGTTAAAAAGCAGCAGTCCATTCTCCTGTTACTCTCATTTAAGTTCTCTCCCCCCTCCCTTCAGCTTGCACTCTTCTGTAACTACTTCTGCTGACTTGGAGTTCAATCTACATTATTTTCCTCACAGACATACTTCTAGCCCCTTACAGGCTTGGTTTGGCTTGGTTTCACCAGCTGTTTTTGAAAACAAATAAGATGCAAATGACATTTTGTTTCCTGGCAAGTCCTTCTCAGCCAGCTTGATCCAAAGAAAATCTTGCTCAGGGAAACAAACAGCTGCAGACATCTGGCATCCAGGCTTTGGGGCCAAGTTCTGCATGATGAAAGTGGGAGCACAAGGCAGGAGAAGGAGAAAACATCTCTTGGTTTGCTAGATTGTAATTTCTGCTGCCAGACTTCATTCTCTTGGTTTGTTTGAGCCCTGCTTGAACTCTGTTTACAATAGATTGAAGGCAGAATTCTTCTATTCTCTATTATGCTGTCAGACAGGATTTTAGCTCCTGCTGTATGGATCCAAAGCATATCTTGCTGCCTCTTTTTATCTTTACTCTTACTTTTCCATATGGCTATACAGATAGGTGTAAGCTGTACACCTGAAGGAAAACTTCAATGAAGTATGTTATAGTAAATATATATAATTGTTTGGTGCACAATGTTAACCTCATGAAAACATTCAGATTTGCTTGAGGTCATAAATCACACAGTTCCCCTACACATTTGACATTACCATCTTCAACAGTTATACAAAGTCTTTCCCCTTTTTTGGAAATAAATGTGCATGCAATTTATAAGAGTAATCCATCTGTCCTGGCATTTAAAGCTGTTGAGTAATTGTTTTTCATAATGACAGTTCCCTATAATTCAAAACACCACAAGAACAACAGTTTCATATTCAGTTAGTGTTTTTGGTTCCCCACCCTTTCCATTATTAGGCTGTTGCTACATTTGCTGCAATGAGGACATTAACTGTGAGTTCCTCATATTCCATGAAAATGTTTCCTTGCAGTTCACGTTTAAAGTAGATCTAGAAGCAAACTTTTTACAGGTAAGGTCTCCTGAATGAAGCTGAGGAGAATTTGCCAAACAGTATTTAGAAGTAGGGAAGATGTTTTGCTGTTACAAGAGGGTGATACTTAAATGTAATT